GTCATGACTGCGTTTAACAGCAGCTGACTGAAGAGTCCAGCGGGCATTTAATCAGCGCGGGGAGGAGCAAGAAGCCAGGAGGTACTGCGGGAGTCTGCGGAGGCAAGACTGCAGGTAACGTGGAGGAGCAGTGCTGCCGCTGAGCTGCTCTCTCTGTATTTATGAGGCCAGTCACGTGGGTCAGCGACCTGTTCAAAACATGTATTGACCATTCGTTCTATAGCTATGACCATTTGTTCATAGCTATAAACCTTAAAATCATTAGTTTTACTATATTTAAGCTGCTTTTTAATTTTTAGTTATTTTAATAAAGCTGCTTACTTTATATCAGGGTCGTAGGTATTGACTGATGCCAAAAGCAACTCTTGCAAAAGAAGTTGCACCGGCCTTACATCATTCGAGAGATGTTGCACCCTCCGCATACAGAGTTCAATGTTCTGTCTCCAAATTGCCAAAGCTAAGTTACTCGCTTGTTTAAACGCAGTCGGCAACTATTTATAGCTGCGAATCATTTTCCTAAGATCTAAGATTTAACACATATGTAATCTATGTACAGTATTGTGCAAAAGTCTTGCGCTATATTCCTTTATATTTTGCTGGGAAAATGGGAAATATGTGCAACGATTTATTGACACGTGCAAACATACATTGAAATAAAATAGACAAGAAAACGTTCTAATAATTATATTGAACTTGAAAGTCAGTATTTGTTATGACTGAGTTCTTCAGCACAGCCTGAAGCTTATAGTTTCCTGTCGGAGACTCAAAGCTCTTCCTTGGATGCTGCCGTCTCCGTTTCTTTGTCAAGATGATCCCACACTTGTTCAGTAATGAAGTCCAGGCCAATCCATGACTGACTTATCTAAGTTGTTCACCATGTGTAGACACAACACTGGTTCATCCCTTGAGTTAGATTCCTTTTTCTTGCTTGAACGATGCATAGGTCCGTGTTAAGGAGCTTAACAAAGGAAAAAAAAACAGTGCGTGACTGAAAATGGATGAAAAGGCGGCTGATGTCCGAAAACATCAGCTTATATCTTGCTTTCAGAATCCTTGGAAGCAAGATTTAAAGACTTATATCACTTTTGACTTTTCCACAATATTGTATTTATTCTTTTATTCTCGTGAACTGGAATGTGCTCTGTATCAATGCTGCAACCAAATCACCAACATCAGACCTTTAAAAAAAACCTGAACTGAACCTGCTGCACTGAAAAGTGCTCAATATGTCATGACATGACTCCAAACACGGGCAGCTGTGGGTTGCATTGTGTAACAGGTTACAGAGGCAGCCATCTGTCCAAGAAAGCGCTCAGGTAAATCCTCTGCACTTGGCACTGCAGAGATACTCACCAAGCCAGACCCAGCAGGACACATGACTAAAGTAAAGCTGCTGGCAAACAGCTGAAAATGTGAGCCCACCCGTGGAGAAGGTAAACCACCAAAATCACAGTGTAAAAATATCTACTGTTTACTATGTAATGGCATTTAGATGAAATAGCACAAGATACTTGAAGTTTAAATAGTAATATCGATGGGGGCATATTACCATATAGGATGCTGGATGTGTTGTTTTAGATCTTTAGCTTTGATTGTGCAGCAATTGAACCTGAAGATTTCAATGAAGTCATGTCTGAGCTCATGATCCTGCTGAAGTCATGCTTTTTAATGTTTGCTCTTTGGCTTTACCTCTTTTGACTTCAACAAATTAAATATAATTTCCTGTCTGTTCCAGTAAAAAAGAAAAAAAATCTCTTGCACTTTGTATCTAATGTGCTTCATCCAAAAACTGATATCGCATATCTACAGGGACCCAGCCAAGAAATATAACAGCTTCTGGATTAATCAATTATATAGTCCTTGACATCAGGTCAGTGTTGAGAAATAATTCAGGGCATCAGCAGCAGCAGCAGCGCTGGAATAATCTGCTTTTAAAGTACAGTCTTTAGTATTGTTTATTCTTTCTTCAGTGCCGCCTCTGGCTGGCTTTTGATTGTGGTGTGAGGAGTTCGAGTGTTCAGCTCCAGTTTTTTCTGCTGTGGTGACAGTTAATTCTGAAATTATGCACCACCTGCAATAATCCATCCTGCTTACCCCGACTGTTGCAGAATTTCTTGTTCTCATATAATAATAATAATCTGTAGAACAGATATCCCGTTATCTACAGATATGACTTCCTCCCCTAATATAATAAGGTCTCATGTAAGCTCTCTGCTCTAAAGCAACTTTTCATTTCTTAAAATGCTGTAATTCATTTGGGACGATAGAGCCAATATTACGTTATATTTTAATGAGTATTTAGATCGTGACGCTTAAAAGCCACAAAGATAAGATGTGCCCTGTAGGATTCTGTACTTTGACCACTGTCTTCAAAAATAAGTCAATAATGTTGTTATCCTGACCTCACTCACACCCCACACCCACCTAACGGCAGCTTGAGACCAAACAAACATTGAAAGCATTGTCTACTGTACTGTATGAGTACAATCTACAACACACTAACAACATACTTAGCAGGCAAGGACTGTTTCCAAAGCACAAAACATGCCCCATTAAATTTTCATCACTTTACACTGATAAGACTAATAACAGGATCATCACACCTGGTGGATTACTGGTGAATTCTGCTGTTTCGACTTTTGTGAAACGTGAAACACTTTGTAAGATTTTTTTAAAAAAAATCCCACTGCAGAGATTTGCAACTGATGAATAATTATTTAAACCTCTTGTTTATTTGACGGGAGAGAGGAAATATGAGCTCATTTTGAGTTTATTGGCAGCAACATTTTCCCACAGACATGTTTGCCACTACGCTGCATCACATCTTCATTCAACACTAAACTTAAACTGCTCAGCAGTTCGAGGCCTTCCATGGGATACTGTTCGTTTAATACTATGCTTTGTGTTTTCAATAGTGGGCTGTTTGGAACCTAAAATAAGCCAGTTTAGCAACTACACTGCTTTAATATAGAGCCATTATGTTGTTATAAGTGTAAACGTGGTTTAGCATCATTACTGTCTTGATCCCTCATTTCTTTATTCATTGACGGAGAAATGCAGCATATAAGGCAAAAACAGTGTCTTTCGAATTCTTGCAAGCTTGAAAGTCAATATTTGATATGACTGCTTTTATTCTTCAGCACAGCCTGAACTCTCAGTGTTTATTGTCATTCTTTAAGCAGTCTTTGAGAATAGTTCTGCAGGGTTCTTGACAGACATCCCAAAACATTTCTTCAGCTGTTGGCTGCCTTTTGTTCTGTTCTCTGTCAAGATGATCTTACACTACATCACAGTACAGGTACAGGATGTGGGGAGGCCAGTCGGTGACTATAGTGTTCTGTCCAGACAAGACAGAAATGAAAAACACTGATAGATCTCAGAAAGCCTGGAGAACTATTGCTCAAGAGCACTTTAGAAATTACAACAAGGTTGGATCCTTGCAAGCATAAAATAAAGAAACGAGGCATTACTCAAGACTTTTGCACAGTGCTGACAGCAGAGGTCTTGCTGACAGTATCAATGTCTGATGTGCGTTAATGCCTCCTGATAACAGATACAGGATTTTTAAATGGTACGCTGACATTAGTCTATAGACAAGCTCATAATTTCCAGCGAGAAATCTAAATTCTGATTCATGTTGTACTTTGTAGAGTTGGACACAAGACAAGGTTAAAAGGGACTCGCTATATTACGTGCAGACTGCTTTATTTAAAGATGATCTCTTTCTTATTCTCTACCCACATCTGCTCGTCCTTTAGTCAGCATTTTTGTCAGCTCATCACACACGTACACACATACAGTATATCTTGCCTGCTCTGTGTTGAAAGGAGCAGGGCATTGTCCAGTCTGTCAGTTATTTCATTTGGAAATATCAGAATTGTGCCATGTGATATAAAAGTCACCTGCCAAAGTTCACAGACACTCTTATCATTTGGGACTCAGATTAAAAAACCAGACACCCTTTAACCTGTGATTTCTAATAATACAATAAATCACACACACACACTCATATTTATTCTCACGTCTCACTTGGTAATAAAAATATATCTAAGAATTTTAAAACGATCATTAAGACTGTTCTCAATAGTACTGACGGCCTGAAAGGCAGACACTGAAGGAAGACACTTGGATGATTCCTTGCCAACAATTAAAAGCAGCTCCAGGAGATGGTTGGGTTTTGAAAACCACAGCTCAGCCAGCCAAAGGCACCACATGTACAGCTCCTGTACCTAACAGTATAAGTAAAAACAACCATGATGGGTGAAATGCTTGGATTCAAAATCATAATCCTAAAAGTAACCAGTAACGGTGCGAGACTTACTTAACACTACTTTTACATCTCTGAAGACAAAAGAAGGAAATTCCCGCTGATTTTGTGCTGCCTGTATGGAGTGTACTGTTTAAAATATGAAATGAATCCTGCAGTTTTTGCTTCCGTTCTTTTACAGTGTTGCCAGTATAATGTTGTAATCTGACTTCAACCTATGACTCTATTTGAGAAAGTTTCGGGCCTTGCACAAATCCCAACACCTCATATGCAACAACTGCAATGTTCACATGTAGCCCCAGAGGAAGGGCAACAGTCTAAATCCAAGGTTCCCAGAGCGAGGCCCGTGTGCCAGCTGTGGGCCCACGTTCATGTTTCGCTCCACAGTCATGCACCAGGTGAAAAAAGAACCAAGGGAGCAACTTTTCCTTTCTGGCAGTCATTGCAGAATAAATCATTTACAATTACAGGTGAGGTCAAGATGTCTTGGCTGTGTGGCCTCGGTTGGCTTCTTTGATAATCATGACTAAATAAACACAGAAAACTTTCCCTTTTTTCAGACTACATTAGACTTCACCGTGTAAGCATGAGTCAGCCTAACTGTCGTTTCAAAGAGAGATTGTTCTCAGACACTGAAGCTGAAAGAGCTACACATGAAATCTTTAATACATGAATATGTGAGATTACACAACTGCTTCTGAACTCTAAATATCCAAATGAACCGAACACATTATTAGAGTTTCATGATGAATTTTAATGCACTCGTAGAACATCTTTCATTTGATCTGAGATTTTAAAGACAGCCTTTCCAGCTTACATGTTTGGGCTTTATTGAGACAGGACATGTTTAAACACAGACCTCTGCAATAGCCTTGAGTCACATGGAGCTCCTGCTCAGCCCGGTGCGAGCGTACAAACAATCACTTTGTCTTTAGTTAAAGGATGAGCTGTGAGCAGGTGTACAGAATCTGCAGCACCAGAGCTTTACAAAGAGGCGTCCAATTCCACCCAGGCCTTGTTGCACTTTAGACAAAGTTCAGGTGTGTGTCTTTGTCTACTCCATAGTTGCCTTTGTGCTCCTCAAACAGATTGCTGAGTTCATCCATGTACAGCTGGTGGAGGGCATCAAGTTCCTCGGCAGTTGGCTTTGCTTTCTTCTCCACTTTGATTGGCCGCCCAACTGCAGAGATGTGACAAAGTGCTTTATGTACTTTGTTTAGTTACAGTATGTTTAAGATGTTTACTGAGCGTGCGGACTGCGTGCCAGCCAGTTACAAAGGACGGTGTGTTTGTTCTCACAGCGAATCTCCCTCTATATCTGATCGCCATTACTCACATGCACCGAAACTGAAATCAGTGACGTCAGTTACTTCTCACAAAGTTGAAAACTTATTGGGAAGTGCAAGGATGCTTTACTATATGTTTTTACCTGAGGGAAGATATCTATTAGGCCTTTAGAGTGTTAATATACACTGCTGCCCAAGTATCCATCCAGCTGCACGTAGTGATGGTGGAGTAAAGCTGCTTACTCACCTACTGTGTTGATAGGTTTTCTGTAGGGCATAAGGCCGAAGGAGTACTGGAAAATGCCTCGTGCATGGAAGAGAGGAAGAGAGACACCCATGATCTTTTGCAGGTTTTCCTGCAACCATCGAAGCCAGGTTCCCCTCGGGTTTTCCACCTGGTCATACACTTCATTCTCCCCAAAAGAGAAGACTGGTACCAGATGAGCTCTGGGAAAAAATGGTTGAGCTCTATTGGTTTCTTATTTCTAACTGATCTCATAGCAGAATATGCGCTTTCCCAGGAAATTCCATGCAAGTCACTTGAATAAGTTTCAGGAGTCAAGCTACAAAAAACCCCTAAAATGAATAGATTGACAATCTTTTTAATAAGCAAAACCATTTCAGAGGCGTAGATGGAGCAGAATTTTCCACATTGCCTCAGGGGTGGCTGATCTTACCCATACTCCATGGCCATTTTGATGAAGCCTTTTTTATGGGCCAAGAGTACATTGAAAGTGCCTGGGTGGGCATCAAGGGCCTCTGGTGCCCCTCCAACAGCTATCACAATAGCATTTCCACCTTTCTTTTTGCAGAGTGGATAAGTGGCACTCTCTTTGTCTGAAGGAATCAGGCCTGCAATGTTGTAACAGAAGGAAAAAATATTTAAAGTGTTCAAATACAATATGTTTATTTTAACATACATAAAAAAGAAGAATGGGAAATATGATTGAAATGTCAATAGCTCAAACCTCCACACATGATGTAGTCTCTGAAGAATGGAGCTCTGAACCAAAGAGGCAACATGAGCAGGTAGCTGGTGATGCCTGGAAACAGCTGTCTGAAGCCTGTCGAGTAGGTGCAGAAGTTGGTAAAGGCTCCTGCCACCAGCACACCATGGGGATGGAAGCCAAGGATGTAGTTATGCCTGGGATCTAAGTCAGCCGTCTTCACCAACTGAAGGGAGGGGAAAGATGATATTTGTAGATGTATACATAGTCAAGAGTGCATGCAGACATACTCGGGATGATAATGGCCACCAGAATCATGGTAAACCGTTTAATCCTCATCAGCCTAAGAGCTGTTTTGGACTTTGCGTTGCAGTTGCTTGGCTCTGGCTGCAGTCCAAACATGTGCCTCAATATCTCAGTTTCAACACAATGTCTTTGACCCTCTGAACCTTCCCTCATCTCCCCTGCCTGAGGCTTCAGGACTCGATTGGGTATGACTTTAACAGCCACACTGGCAGGATGAAGTACTGTATGTGAAACCTTTGAAATTGCCCGTATTTCTGCACAAAAAGCATCATAAATATATAAATATTATACAGTATATACTACAAGTAAATGGTATATTGCAAGTGTGGTTTCATAGATCTGGCCATATTTGACATGAATAGCAAGAAGGGGGACCTAAACTGCAAAAACCCCAAAACCCAACAACAGGAAAACGACAAACTTTCACTTAGGTTGAAAGCAAGACACAGGTACAGATAATCCAGACAACGAGGCGGGGCGAAGTAAGACTGAACACACAAAAAAACAGGAAATCAGTCATAGCTAAACTGGGAAATGCAGACACATACATTAACTTAACTTATGGGGTTGACACAAGGAGATATAACAGAAAACACTGAGCGAACACTATGTTTTAAAAAATATTCCAGACCATCCAAATCATTGAATTAAGTTTTCCGATAACTTCCATGGCTACAGGTGTGTAAAATCAATCATCTAGGCATGCAGACTGCTTCTACAAACATTCGTGAAAGAATAGGTCATGTGATGGGGTGGGCCAGGGTCACGCAGTGGTTTCCCCGAGTCAGAATTTTTAACTGGTATCTCCCTCAACTCAGAAAGTCACTGCAGGCTCTACCAGCTCCAGCTTTGTTGCCTCCCAAAGTTAACAATCCAGGATGGCAGCAGTGAGCATAAAAAGTAATAAAATTGTTGTTGTTTTGTTTTTGTTTGTTTTTTAAATTATTTATTTATGTATTTATCCTTAAGTTCTGTTATTGAAGTTTAAAATGAAATGGCCCACACATTTTTTCACACGTAGGCTGATGTGATGATCCACATGATCAATAGCAGATCAACGCGCCTCAGGGGACGAGCACCACTCAGGGTTTAATAACTTGGACTCACCACCATTTTTATAACCTAAGAAGCCTCTTGGATGAACCATCAAATCAAATCAAATCAAAATGTATTTATATAGCACATATAACCATGAATATCTTCCTGGAGGCGTCCAGCTGTTTTCTTTTTTCAAGCTATTTTTCATGTTTTGTTATCAGCTGTACCAACGACGCATTTCTTCTCTAAACTCTACATATAGGACATTTCCTTCCTTTACAAAGTGTGCAGGCTAGGCCCAGAAGCCCGTTCAACCAGAGTTCAACCAGAGACTAAAAATGACCAGAGGCTCCACTTGTATAATTCCTCCTCGTTCTGTTGAAGTTTAGCAACTGTTTCACAGCAATTTCATTGCTGGGTATTGCAAAAGATTTTCTGACTGCGATTGTTTTATTACATGTCTTCACATTCAAGCTTCCAGTAGACATTTTCTGCCCACTATTGCCTCCGTCGTCCAGATTTTATGCAATGCAGAGTTCAAGTTTCCACATCACAACTGTGTCTAATGCCAACTGGATCCCAGAGATACACACATGTTTTATCATGTTGCACAGGTGTTTTATTATCTATTAATCCTCATTTTTATGCCTTTTTTAGTCTGTTCACATCTACTGATGCTGTTTTGTTTTTAAAAAAAATAGTAATATTTTGGAATGCTAGAGGGCTTATGTAGCTTTATTAACTCCAGCCAAGAGTCCTAAAGAAAGTAAGTAAAAATACTGAAGGTGTCACTGGACCTACTTTACCTGAGAGCTGAGCTGGGACATGCTCTGGTCATGAAAAGGAGAGCTGATGCTGTTACATGACACTTTTGGCTGGTTGTCTGTTTATTTCAGATATTTTATATTGGGGTTAAAATGACCCTGATTGGTGTCATCATGTAAATAAAACACAAATAACATAACTGACATTACAAGATGTTTCAAATTCAGCTTGATGCAAGCAAACAACAGTTCCTTATCTTTTAAGTAGGGCCTAAAGTTAAAGCATGAATACATGCACCTCTAATTTCAGCGCAGCACTTGATGAAAGGAATCAGGGGATATCCTGCATGTACCAAATTTCATTACACAAAAATGAAGGAGAAATGGTAAAAACAGTGAAGAACAATTAATCATTGACTTGTCTGAGAGGTTCTGCAATATGCTCATGTGCCAGAAAATAACCAGGACCGTTTGAATAAAAAATACTGCACTTGCAGTGTTTTTCAGATATTAGGAGCACCTTCCCTTCATTTAGCTTTTAGCATTCTAGGCTCCCAGCACACTGTTAAAAAGGTCAAAATACAGTTGGCACTGCCCACAGCGCTACTCTACTGCCAACCAGGAGGTCAGAGATTCAGGTGTGATGTGTTAATAGTTACATGGAGAAAGTAGCCTCAAACAGAGATAAGGAGCACGTTGCAGAGGTTTGGCAGGTTCAAGTTTTCTAACCCTTCATGCACATAGAAGGTTTTACAGCATGAAAACAAAATATCTTCCTGAAACCTTTTAAACATAAATGTTACCTGTTTTTTCTTTTTAATGCTGGCTAACATAGATGTCTCCCGAACATAACTCTAGAATAAATATGGAAATATTCTGAGTTTCAAAAGTGATTTCAGAAGCGTGCCTAATGATTGCAGTGGATGTCTGCTGAGTCACTGAAAGACTTTTGCAATGCTTCAAATTTCCACTTCACAGCTGTGTTCTGCCAACTGGACCAGGGCTGTCTTCCAAAGTGTTTGTGGCTCACATCTTAAAGTACAGAAGATTTCAGCTGGGTTTTGAGGAGCTACCCTTTATTCACGTGAAAAAAGCACTTAATAAAATATAATACTAAAAGGTGAGCACAATGGGGGCCCATCGTGTTTCCAAAGGCGATAAGTGTCCAGGGTTGCTCACTTCAAGTTTATATAAAAGTTGAAATGAACATCTTGTACTTCCATATATTTGTCACTTGGCAGGAAGGTTAAAGAGATGTGCCAGTGTTTACACATGACAAAGGTCATCTTGCTATTTGCAAGGTAAAAGACTTCTGGTGTCACAGAAACACTGGATATTAGCAATATTTAATAAAAAACACTCTCTGATTATCAACAATAAAATCTCGAGGAAGATAAGCAGCTCTGTCTCAAACCTTTTTCTTGGGATTCTCCTTTAATGCTGGAGATGTTCTTTTTGTTGGAATTGGTGAATATAGACGGATGCTGAGTCTCTGAATTCATTCCCCAGCTCTTCTCCATTGGTTGGAGCTTCATTGAGCTGCTTATGCAGCTTATTTTGCTCTTTGGCAAGTAAATTATGAGCCACTGTGTTTGTGATCAATCCTCGCAAACTTAGTGATATTTCTCTGTAATGTTTGAAGCGACACAAGTGAAAAGCTCCATGATGTCGTTTGTTTAGTCCGCTAAAAATAAGCACTCCCTTCACTGATCTGTGCGTGAGATTCATACTCAAGACAACACTTTTCTTTTATCAGGCAATCATCTCAGAACCAGTTTCAGTCATTTGATACAGTTTTTCCAGTAATGTTTTCTCTTTATTATTTCTTAATGAATAAGGGTGCATTCACACAGATTTTAAAGCTTTCTCAGATTGTAATAGATCACATGAAGGTTGTGAGTAAAGCTTATATAAGCAAGTCATGTTACTGGACCTTCGTGGAGCTGATTGTTGGTGTCCGTGCTGTGGAGACCTGCTGCAGGTGGCTCCCAAAGTTAAACATTAGCTCCAGTTCCACTGATGAGGCACTAAGTAAGCGAAGTGTCTATCGTAGTGTCACCAAGACCTGCTGTCGAGCCTTCATCGTTACATAATCTGTGTTTCTATCATTCCTGCCAAGATAGTTTTCAAAAGGATAAATATCTACTTTTCCCAAATTCCCAGGTGGACCTAGCTCCACACTGCATCTTCCGCTGCATTAGTGGAAAGGTATTCATAGATGTACCCTGGGGAAGTTTTGTGGGAAGACAATCATGGCAGATAAAGTCTGTGGGCTACACAGGAGTATCACCCCAAATCACTTGTGAGAAAGTGCTTTTCCATAACCACTGACAACTTCAGGACTTGGTAACTTGGTGGTGGCGTCAGGATTAAATGTGGTTTATCGTCATAAAGATGCAAAAATATGTTTTGTAGCCTGAAAATGACTCCATGTGTGCCTCTGTAATTGCCTTCAGATACATTTGAATTTGCGTCACTATCTCGTCTACATGCATTTTTGTCCTTTTAGAAACCAAGACACTCACATCAGCTGGTGAGCTTTCAGCCTGAGCTGGTGACGGTGTATTAGAAACGGTGGGCAAAGACACGCTAATGAAAGGAATTAGGAAACTTTAAATAACACATCTTCTCTCTACCCTCACACGGACTCCTTGTTTCGGGCCCAATGTGGCAGTCAGATGATGCTGGGCAGAATTCAGTTTGAACTAGATGGCACAAAACATTCTTGGTTTTTTTTCTTAGAAATTTTTTTCTAAGAAATTATTTAATATATGAAATTCAAAATATTCACACGAATATATATATATATATATATATATATATATATATATATATATATATATATATATATATATATATATCATTAGAGGCCTCGTGTGAATATTTTGAATTTCATATATATATACCAAGGGCTCAGAGAAGAGCTCGAGAGGATGTGGAGGGTGAAGGTAATGGTGGTCCCCGTGGTAATCGGAGCACTAGGTGCGGTGACTCCCAAGCTAGGCGAGTGGCTCCAGCAGATCCCGGGAATAACATCGGAGATCTCTGTCCAGAAGAGCGCAGTCCTGGGAACAGCTAAGATACTGCGCAGGACCCTCAAGCTCCCAGGCCTCTGGTA